CTCCAAGATGTGTGCAGTGAAACTCTTCATGCTAGAGATGGCGGAGGCAGGGAAGGTGGGGGGTGGGGCGGCCCGACCCGAGCCACATCGAGCCATCTCAGGGGCCCTGGCTCTGACCCCTCTGGGAGACTGTAGAGGGAGGGGTGTCCCTTTCAGGTGGCGCAGCCCGACAGAATCACGGGCAGTGCCCATCACTGCAGACGCCCCCAACGGACAACTGATGAGGCTCCTGCCTGGGTCTGGGTGGCAGATCCTGGGGTTAAGGTGTGACGTGTGACCCCCGGGCTCCTGATTCATCACCTCTGCAGGGAGGGCCTCAGTGGGAAAGACACAAAAGATGGTAATGACATGCAGTGTGTGTGTGTGCGCGTGTGTTCGTGTGTGTGCATGTGTGTGTGCATGTGTGTGTGTCTGTTCGCACGTGTGTGTGTGTGTGTGCATGTGTCCCAAGGCTCGAGGACATCAGTCACAGCAGAGCCGGACAGGCTGGCTTCACACCCCCAGATCAGAAATAACCCTGGAGCAGCCAACGGAGTCCCCTTCCCTCCTAGCCAGGAGCGTGCCCCCTCTGCTTTCTGTGGTCCCGCTGGGAAACATGCCCACAGGACCTTGGGGGCCTGACACTGAGGGTCCCTGGAACCTCGGGGGTGACGTCCACAGAGCAGGCGGGGACCTGATGTGCTCTGCTGCCATCTGGAACTTCAAATCCTCCCCTGAAACAAAAGCACTTCAGCGGGGGTGGAGGCTGTGTAACCCCAGGCACCTGGAGGGGGGCACTGTGCCCCAGCCCCCAACCATAGTCCCCAAACCCCAGACAGCCGGGGGGCCTCGCCTGCCGCTCTGCGAGGCTGTTCTCTCGTCTCTCTCTTGCCTGCTCTCTTCCGTCTCTTCCCTTCTCATCTGTTACTCTCCCTCTCTCCCATCTCGCTCCCATCTGTCTCTGCCTGGGGAAGGTTCCCCGCCCCCACCCCATGCCTCTAGTTTGGGGCAGGGGCTCCCCTCTCCCAGGGCACCAGCGGACAGGTGAGCATGGTGGTCCCCACTGGGAATCACCTCTCCACCCCCACCACACACTCTTGAGGATGAAGTCCCTGTCCTTTTATCTTTTATTTTTCTCTTTAATTGTTATTTTTTGGGGGGGGGGTATTCCTATCTTCACTATCCTCCCCTCTCTGGCCAGGCAGAGAGCACAACACACCCTCAGTGCATATATAATGTATGAGGGCGTCCATGTGTGAAGGATGGGGGTCGGGGAGCACTCGGCTCCACCCCCAGGTGCCCACACCCAAGAGGGAATGGGGCTGGGGGAGGGGTCCCATGGCACGGGGTGGGGAGACCCTGCTGCTAGGGCGGCAGCTGCCCACAGAGTAGAGAACAGGAGGGGCCCCCGGAGGGAGGCCACCCTTCCCCACGGGGACCCCCTTCACGTCTTCCATCTCCAAGGGGGTATTTCAGGACAAGGAGCCTCTGTGGCCGAATAACGGGTTTGTGGGGGTCCCCGAACCAGATGTACCACACACAACAAACACACCCTAGTCCCCCCCCACCCCCCATTTACTTGCAACATTAAATGGAAAATGTGTTCCGGGGGAACCTCTATTTTTGTACTATACTTCCAAACCAAATCAAAAAGCACACGTGAAGGTAGAAGCCTTTAAACCTGCACAAACGCAAACAACACTGGAAAACAGTGATAACCACCCCCCGGAGTCAAAACACAAGAAAGACACCATGAATGGGGGGAGGGAAGGGGAACTTTCCAGAAAACATGGCTTGAATGGAGGCAGCAGACTCATCCGGGGCTTCAAAAGGGTGAGCCCCAGCTCCCCTGGTCCCCCGTGCGCAGGGCTCCCAGTGGGAGTCTGTGTTACTTTGGGGATGATTTTCGATCTGAGCCATCCTGCACAGGTACATGGAGATGGAACAAATCAAATAATTAACACAGTTGCTCCGGGTGCAAATGCATTTTCCGAGAAATCATCTGAGTTTGGCCCATGAGCTCTGCTTGTTGTGGTTTTCTTGCTTGCTGCGACTTTCTCATTAAAGCCGGCCTGATCCTCACGTCCTTGACTGGCGTCTGGCCCTCTGCATCTCTGACTGCCTGTCTGTCCTTCGTCTCCTCCATCCCCTTACCATGCTGAGCCCCACCCCCCCACCCCCCCACCAGCCCCCATGTTCTATCAGCATTTGCAGCTGCTGCTGCTCTATTATTTACTTCAGTTTGGGGTTTTTTTTTGGAGCCACACCTGGCAGTGCTCTGGGGTATTCCTGGTTCTGTGCTCAGGGCCCAGGGATGGAGCCGGAGTCGGTGGGGAGTCCAACTTAAGGGCCTTATCCCCCACACTCTCTGTTCAGTCCCCCCGCTGCTGTTTTATCAAAGCTTTGATGAGATTCCTAGAGCAAACTCTGTCGATGCCCACCCACTTGGGCTGACCCGCCGGAGCCAGGATGCGGCTACAGCTACAGGCTCTCTTGTGCGCCAAGTCACTAGTACCCTGGAGAAGGAAGTTTCCTCCTCAGCAGACTTGACTGCAGTGAATCAGGCTCAAACCTTGGCACTGACTTGGCATCACGGTCCTCGGAGACATGTGGGTCTGTGCCCTCCTGCCCACGCCGCCCTGCCCAGGTGTCCAGATGCCAGGCTCCCCAGGGGCCCTGCAGAGGTAGGACGGCTCGGGCAGCACCCCGGGACCGCTGCTTGGCTAAGAGCAGAAGGCTGGGCCCGTTCCTCCTGCCCAGCTCCTGCCCAGCTTGTACTCAAAAGACAAGCAAGAGGGGAATGCGTGACGTCTGCCTCGGGGTTCCAGCCTGGACTCGAGCTGCCGTTCTGTCTCAGTTGAAGTCATTTGCTGTGATCTGCTATTATACAGTTTAAGAAAACAACATCCACCTACTGATGGATCAAGGAAGAGTGAAAAGTCTGTAAGAGTCAGACCTGGAATGCTTAAGAGCATTCATCTGTGCCGGTTGCGTGGACTCCCCAGAGACTCTGGGTGGGGGAGGGCCTCATAGGCCCTGGGAGCTATGACCACCTGTGCTTCTAAGGGTTGGCAAAGACCTGGCCCTGCCCCTGGGTTATGCAAGGAGACAACTAGCCCCTGTGTGAGACACAGTTGTAACTGAAGTTACGCCCCTTTTTGATTGATGGTTGTAGACCATACCTTGTTCTAAATATAAGTATAAATTGTAGTTAATCTTGCATGACCTTCACTGATGCTTTGAAATGCAGTTTTCTTTTAACTAATTTTATTTCTGTTTTGGGACCACACCCGGTGATGCTCAGAGGTTTACTCCTGGCTCTGCACTCAGGAATGACTCCTGGCAGTGCTCAGGGAACCAACATAAGGGGTGCCGGGAATCGAATCCAGGGTGGCTTACCTGCTATATCACCCCAGAATGTAGTTGTAGATTATAAATGCCGCCTCAGTTTGGTAAACTGGGTTCAAGTACCATGACCCACTGCCATCCCCGGGCCCAGGGCGGGAAAATGAACTTATGTCCGACTCCCATTCTGCATCTTGGGCAGAAAACTGCGACTCTCAGCTCTGGGCAGAAAACTGTGCCCCGAGAGTCAGCGGGCCTGTCCTCCAACTCCCCACAGAAGAGGCAGCATGCCAGGCCGGGCTGTGGTCACCAGGCACTTCCTAGCCCCGAGCACTGAGTTTCTGGAAACAACCCCCCAAATTGTCAGCTCCCTGCCCCTCGTACCCGGCTCTGAAGGGGAGGAAGAGGAAAACGAGGGTGGGTATGTCCAGGCTCATGGCACCTCTCAGGGAGCGTGGTGGTGCTCCTGAGGTCCTGGTTGCTTTCCAGAGAGGGGACAGATGGCCACAGCTGATGGAAACGGTCCTGGGAACGGGGCAGGGAGGTGAGAGCTGCACACACAGTGAGGAAACTCGGGCACCGCTAACGCCGAGTCCGGAGGGCGGGCGTGCCCAGGGCTGTTAGGGCGATGCTAGGAGTTGGCTCTCAGCCAACCACTGCTACTTGCTTTGTCCTCTGGATGTGCCCTCATGAGCAAGACCCTTGAGTTTCTTCCTTTTCCCCTGACCTCTGACCCACGAGGGCAGCTGTGAAAATAGGGCGTTTGCTTATTTTTTTCCAAAGGCAGATAAAGGCCTGAGTGTTTTCCCAGCTCAGCTCTCTCTGGAAGGCGCCTGCCCTTCTCTGCTTCTACCTCAAGGACCTTTCTGGGCAGGCTGTGGCTCAGCGGCGGCGGGTACTGCCTCAGAGCGGGGAGGGGCTCCACTGAGCCCTGCACTACGGGGGTGCCATCCCGCCGCTGACCACCACCTCGGCCCTGATGCTCCCAGGGGGCTGCCCTACCGCCTTCTCTTACTCCCAGAGAAAGGGCAACCAGTCCTTCCATCTCCGTGAGTTCATAATTCCCAAGTCCAAGTGCCAATGGAACACTCGTGTCCAAATGCAGTGCCTGAGTGATGCCCCCAGGGCAAGGGGACCCCCAAAATCTCGGGGTGGGCCACAAACCGCCTATGGAGTGAGAAGCGTCCCGGGATAATGGGAACTGGGCAGGTTCACAGACCTTCAGGGCATCTGTGGGAGACCCAGAGGACCCCCCCCCTTCCCGAGCAGCTGCGCAGCTGGTCCAGCCTTGGGTGAGAGTGTCTTGGTGCACTTGGGGGACCCCCGGCCAGGCTGCTGGATGCAGTGTGCCCGTGTGGTCATCACCCACCTTGGGGAAGGTGCTCCAGGCTCCCTACAGGGCTTCTCTCTGATGCGGTCCCAGTCTCCCACTTCCCTGGGCCCCCGACTCCTCTCCTGGAGACGGCACTCGCCACTGGGCACTTGTCAGCACCACCATCCTTGAGCTCGGCCGTGTGAGGGGGCTGCACAGACCCTCTGGCGGCCACTCCCAGAGGCCTCCCCGCCTCTTTTCCCACCGCCCCACAGCACACATGGGGTATTCATGGCCTGCTCCCTCCTGAAGCCGGGGATGCCGTGTGGGCAGGACAGGGTGGGGGATGGGGGGGACACCTCACCTGTGACATGCAACTTCTCCTCGGTGACCTCGGCCTTCAGGTAGATCCGGCCCCTCTTCTCTGTGTGGTCCATGCCGCAGAGGCTGGGCACGTTGATGACGCATTGCTTGTGCACGTTCATGTCGCAGGCTGCACACGAGAGGGCAGAGGTCACCACGGGGCACAGGGACCCAGCGCCATGTCCCCCACCACCGTGGGTGCGGGCACATACCCTCCCCACCTCCACCCACACAACTCGATGCTTCACGATTGTGTTTTTAGTGACATCCAGAACTGCGAGCAGATGTCTCTGCCGGCTCCGGCCGCCTGCAGCCGACGAGATCCTTAAAATACCCCCCGCATCGTCTCTGCAGCCCCCAGGGAAGCCGAGTGCCACTGCTGGGGTCCCCGGTGCTTGCTCGGATACTAAGAAGCACCCCCCAAAGCTGCATCGTGGAGCTGGAGGCACACCGAGCCCTGGGTGGCCGAGATGGGCCATACCCCAAAGCCCAGTATGCGCCTACCCCCCGTTTTTTTCCAAACCCAGGAGACTCTGGGCTGAGAATTTCTTCTGCCTTTTTGGAACTTGCCACCCCACTCGGAGGGAGAAAGTTTGGGGGAGGGGGGTGTGACGTGGGGGAGGGGAGGGGGAAGGGAGAAATGCTGAGCTGGTCTCTCCCTCCCAGCGCTGGGGGATGGCACCTTCTCAAGAAGGTTTCGGCCCATTGTTGTCGAAGAAAAAAAAAAGTGTGTTTGATATTTCAAACCTGTCTTCCAATATTTAAATATTATTGCCAGTACAACAAATGCGCTCCTGGCATGATAAACGTCTCTTTACCAGCTGACAAGAGTGTGGGCGAGCTGGGGGGGGAGGGAGGGAGGGAGGGAGGGTAAGGAAGGGGAGGATAAAAAAAGATCAGTCTTCCTGCACGGAACAGCAGACACCCTGAAAAGGATCTCAGTGCTCAGCACAAACAGAAGTTTGCATGTGAGGACGCAGGTTGGCTCCTGCGTGCCCGGGCCCTGGGGCTTCTGCAAGGAGGGACCAGGTCTTTCCTGGATTTTTATGGGGTGCTGTGGAGTCGCACAGGTGGAAGAAAGGGTCCCATGCTCTGCTCCCTGCCTGGCTCCTGATGGGAGCTGTTTGTGAGGAACAGCACAGGGCGGGGGGGGGGGGGGGGGAGACAGCTCCTTGGCCGGGAGCAGACGCTGGAAGGAGGGGGACCCAGGCGTGAGGTCCAGAGGACCAGGGGGACCACCTGCTATGGTCGGGGTGCTACAGAGGCTCTGATTCCTGAGCCTGCCGCTCGCCAGGACCAGGCGCCGGAACAGGGCCGGCAGAAAGCGTTGCTGGGGATGTGTCGTGTATAAGAAAAAAAAAAAAACCTTGAGATTTGTGCAGAAGTTTCAAGCTGAAGGGAATAGCTATCAGAGCCCGCGGAGAAGGTGGGCAGCGGGGGAGGAGAGGGCGGAGGGGCGAGGTTTCTGCAGGGGTCTGGCTGGGCCTCACCCGCCATGGGAAGTGGCCTCTGGGTCACGGGGAGCCGCCTTGGCTCTCTGACTCTGTTTCCTACCATGCAAACAGAAGGGAGAGCAGCGCCAAACTTAATGTTTCCTCCTGGGCTAGGAGAAGAGTTGGAAGTGTCCTAGGAGGAAGGCCCAGGCTGAGGGCTCTTCTCTTCAGCAGCCAAGGCCAGGGTCAGGGCTGGCCACTTGCCTGCTTTTTGCCCTCGTTCCTCCAGGAGGGCCCAGACCCAGTAACCCCAGAGGCTGAGAGACTCCGGGGAGAGAACGGCAACAAAATGGGGGTGCCTGAGGCATAGAGCAGTGGTTTTGAGTACATAGTTTAGTAACACCGGTCACCATGTTTTAAAAAAGCCTTAGGCGGTCTCTTCTTTATCTTACCAACCCTTAGCCCCACACACTCTTGTGGTTCATTCCAACCATTAATAGACAGAGAAGAGACTGCTCTGACAATAATAGCTGGGAATGATCATACTGAACAAGATCTGAGGGTTAAAAGTAGATAAGGGATATTCTTGATAACCTTTCAGTATCAATATTGCAAACCACAATGCCCAAAAAGAAGGGGAGGGGAGGGAGGGAGGGAGAGAGAAAGAGAAAGAGAGAAAGTGAAGGAAGGAGGGAGGGGGGGAGAGAGAGGAGGGATGGGGAGAAAGGGGGGAAGAGAGAGAGAGAGAGACAGAGACAGAGACAGAGACAGAGAGAGCACCTGCCATAGAGATAGGCGACAGGCAGGGGGAGTGGGTGATGGGAGGGAACCTGGGGACACTGGTGGAGGGATGGGTGTTGGGACATTGTATGACTGAAACTCCATCATGAACAGCTTTGTAAGGTCTGTCTCACAGTGATTCAATAGAAGGGTTTTTAAAAAAGAGTAAAATACACATATGCATAAAAAAAACTTAAAACCTTAGGCGGAATCTCAAGCTACAAACAAAAGGAGTGCTCTTTTATGGGAATAATCCGCGTTCATTCAAGGTACGCCATTTATTTGGCGTCAGGGCACTCATGGGTCACGGGTAACAGATGCCCTCCACCCCAAACACAAGTTCAGGTGCAGCTGTTGGGATGCACGTTCCAATCTCTGTCCTGGCTTCCATGTCTCACGGCTTTCCCAGACTGATCCAAGCTGTCTGGCATCCCCCAGTCCTGGTTCTGTAGAAGACTGTGTACCGAGGGAGACATGGCTGAACAACGTGCTTCCTGGGGGCACGCACCAGAAGCTTGTCCCTGTGCTCTACCCCACGGCAGGCTGCAGCCGTCCCCAGGGTAAGCCCGCCTCCACTCTGGCTCTGCTTAATAAGACAGCTGAAGGTATGGCTCTGCGTGGACTTAAAAACCCCTGCAAATCCCTGAAATCCCCCAGAGAAACGTCTTTGGAGGGGCCCTGAGTGATAATACAGTGGGGAGGGCATTTACCTTGCACGCGACCAACCTGGGTTTGACCCCCTGCAACCCCTAAGGTCCCCCAAGCCCCGTCAGAAGTAATTCCTGAGTGCAGAGACAGGAATAGGCCCTGAGCAACGCTAATGTGGTCTAAAAACCAAAACCCAAACCACACACACAAAAACAACAACAACAACAACAACAAAAACCAAGAACAAAAGTATCTTTGGAAACTGAGATCTCCAAACTGACTCATATGACTTCAGCCTGGGCTGGTCAACCGAGAAACTAGAGATCAATGCTGGAAATTTCAGAGGCTGCCTCTGCGGCTCCACGGAATCCACACATCCGGCATTTGGGGGACTGTGTGGTGGTCATGATGGAATTATGGAGATAGGCTGCTCATCTCATAACACTTCCCTGTGTACTCGGAGGAGAAACACAGGCTCCATGCTTATCCTTCCAGGGCCGGAAGTAGAAACTTTTACTCAGGCTACTTGCTCCTGAGAGGGCTCGAAGCCAAGAGTTTTCAGTGGGGTTTTCCTTCTATCCCGAGATTCCCACAGGACAGCCAAGGAGAGGGTGCCAGGCCTGATGACATGAGGCCATGGTCAGCACCCCCCTAGCTGGGCCCACATGGGTGCCCCCATGCCCACGCAGCCTGAGCCCCTGGGAACTTCACAAAGACGCCACCCAGGGCCTTGATTCTCATGGCGGCTGCAGTTCCAAGGAGCGCCTACTGGATTTTTCCACAGTCCACCCACTGATTAGAGACCCAGGAAGATAATGACTATGATTGCTTGGCTTATTTTGAAGCCTAACCAAATGTGGAATCTGGAGGTGGGGTGGGGTGGGGGGGGGGGGTTCCTTTCTCACACGGCACTTGCAGCGACTGAAGATTTACACCAAGGAAAAGAAAATGAGACGGCAAGCACCCACCTCATGCATACACTGCGTGCTCAGCCAAGGGAGGGGTTTCCTAACACGGCAGGAAGTGGTCGCACAGACAGGAAGTTGGGCCTGGGAGAGACGGCATGCTTCCTGCACTTCCAGCCTGGGGCTGAACCTTCTGGGATGTGTGCTAGGGATGCAGACCCAGGCGCCCTCCCTCTGTTGGTGGGTTGGGGTTGGGGAGTGATGGGACCTCAAGTGATGTGGAGACCCCGGGCAGAGCCACAGTGTCTCACGGATGGGGAAAAGCAGACGGACTTACTGTCGCATTTCATGCCCTGGTGGATGAGGCCGTAGAGCAGCGAGCCGCAGTGGTCGCAGAAGGTGGGGCTCCCATAGGTGTGGATCTTGAACTTGTGCTTGCTTCTGGGGTCCTGCAGGGAGAAGAAGGAGCAATTGGTTAATCGCAGGCATGGGGTGGGGTCAGGCGCCCCTCAACACCCACCCTCAAGTCGAGGGTTCACTGCACCACACAGCACCCTACATGAGGAACTGCGGATGACGTATTTGCTCTGTCACTTCTCATTTATTTTTTTTGCTTTTTGGGGTCACACCCAAAAAAGTGATGCTCAGGTTACTCCTGGCAGTAATCGGGGGACCACATGGGATGCCAGGGATCGAATCTGGGTTGACCCTCCCCGCTGTACCATCACTCCAGATGCTAATCTTTGCTCCTTCCTCACAGGTCTGAGGCCCCAGGTTCAACTCCCAGCACCAAAGTTAAAAGTTAACACTTTGAGCTTAGTTCTTGCTTTGTGGGTGGGGCAGCTGCAGATCGAGTGCTGTGCTTTGGCCCCCTCTTCCTGTTCAACGACAGTGTTGGGGTCCCAGCTGCAAACCTCACACGCAGAAGCTATACATGGGTCAGTATAGCAGAACCCCGATGCCCCACTCATCGTACGCTGGACTGGGGTAGTGAAGGGCTAGAACGAGTGACATCAGGCACAGGTGTCCTTCACCTGGACATCAGGGGGGAGCCCAGAGCCCAGCCACTGAAACCGTGTGATTAGCCATAATTTTGTAGATGTCTGGAGTTTCGTGTGTAACTCTCACACATTCCTCAAGGGCTCATGGACTCAGGAATTAAAACAGCTTCGTGCTGGCAGTCTGACTGGGGTGGGGGTCACATCAGGGTCGCTACTTGGGGACCACGTGCTGAGCAAGGCTCCCCCCAGCTCTGGCAGGGGTGCCGAGTCAGCTGGGGGCGTTCCATGGGACTCGGTGGGAGTACAGTCTGCCTTTGATCCTATCGGTCTGGTTGAACATGACTTCTAAGAAAGAACAACATCCATTCTGGGGACAGTTAGATTCCGGTCCTGCTGAGGGGTGTCACATGGCCATTTGGACTAACTTGTCAAACCAGGTTGTGCCAGGAGAAGGATTCAGACAGATCAGAGACCCAGCCAGGCGAGATGCTACCCTCATTAAATATACAGCAGCAAACTCTTAAAAAAAACAAACATACAAACAAGTCTCTATAAATCTCGACCAGTAGGGCGATGGCTAAATAAACCGTAATGTATTTATACTATGATCTGCCACGAGCAGATCAATCGGACGAGCTGGATCTTTCCGTTCCCAGCCTGGACAGAGCTCCAAGGTATATACTCTCTAATGAAAAAAAGAGTGAGTCACAGAAAGAGACATAAACTATCCTGACATCTATGGGAAAGATAGAATGGTAAATAACCCCCAGAAAAAGGAACAATAGCACCGCTTTTCACTGGAGAGCTATAAAAGCATAATGCTTCTAGGGCCAGGGTGGGCGGGCATAGAGGCAAGGCTGGGAGAGGAACCCTGAGAAATGACTTGCAAAGGTTCCCGCTAAAACAACGAACCCATGCCAAGACCCGTGATTTTAAGGGAGAGGGTTCTCCCCAACAGCTCTGTTGGTTCCAGTTCAAAAGAGTCCCCAGGTAGCAAGAGAGGGGAGCTATGTTTGGGGCAGATACTGGTACCACAGTGACATCTGGGGACAAATGGGTTCTGTCCAGCAATCTCCAGGAGGAAGGTGCCCATGTACCACCACCATGCACGCAGGCGGGACCCCAGGCCAGCGCTCCAAAGGAATGCTTAAGTCCACATCCTCATATACTACAACCAGCATCATCCAACTTTGTACTCCATTTTTCATCTTGTCACTGTCTCAAGATATCAATATATATCAAGTTTTGTTCGCCCCACTGATGACCGTTTTCAAATTCCAGATGAACAGATGAGTTCGACTGAAACTCTCCTACTAAGATGCTTAAAATGTGCCAATATTCAAACCACGAAGCCTGTGGGCTCATTTACCCATCGGGAATTTTACGGTCACGGTCACGGTCCTCCCATTGTTCATCGATTTGCTTGAGCGGGCCCAGTAACGTCTCCATTGGAGACTTTGTTGTTACTGTGTTTGGCAGATCGAATACGTCACGGGGAGCTTGCCAGGCTCTGCCGTGCGGGCGAGATACTCTTGGTAGCTTGCCGGGCTCTCCGAGAGGGGTGGAGGAATCGAACTTGGGTCGGCCATATTGACTGCGCGCAAGGCAAACGCCCTACCACTGTGCTATCGCTCCAGCCCGGGAATTTTACAATCATCGTTTTCTCTTGTGGCTGCCCCAGGCTAACTCTGATTTGGCTCACGAGGTCAGGTTATTTGGTGTCAGCCTGAACATTTAATTCTGCTCGAATAGCCAGGGTTTCTTGCCCACTCTTCACTCTGGGACCTTGGAGAGGCGATGGAGTGACCTTTTCCTGGGTTAAAACAGCCAACAGTGCCACTCTTCCTCCTGAGACCTCTGCCGCTCGCCAAAGCAAGTCCCTGGTTAAGTGGCCTCCACAAGCCTGCGGAAGGGGCAGGCTCATTCTGCATAGTAGCAGCATCTACGAAGGGGCATGGGAAGCCGGAATGCTAATGGCATTCTTCATTCCTGGGTCCCCAGAATGGGCTAGAACTGCAAATGTGCAAAGTCCTTAGTTTAAAGTACAAGTGAATTAGGTTTGAAACTGGGACTGTCCAATAAAACATTGACCTTTTGGATATGTATTGCCTCAGCAGTGGAAGAGAAACTCCCCCAGACTCGGCTGGCTGCAGCCGGCAGGCATTTATCACTCACGTGTGAAGAAGGAGGAGCATCCAGGCCACTGCCAGTCAAAATGAGTCAAAAGGCCAGTCTCATGGGCGTGTGGGCGTGTGTGCGTGTGTGTGTGTGTGTGTGTGTGTGTTGGGGTGGGGGTGGGTGGTGCTCTTCCTGTGGACCCAGGTGTGTGTGGGGTGTGGCCCTGCCATCCTCCTGTCTGAATAGAAGCTGGGACAACTATGTGAACACTCAGTTCTCCCTGCATTTCATTTTTTCACTTTTGGGCCATACCAGATATGCTCAGTGTTACTTTTTTCTTTTCTTTTTTTCTTTTTTTTTTTTTTTTTGATTTGGGGACTACATGCAGCTGTGCTTAGCTTACTCCTGGCTCTGTGCTCAGCTGTCACTCTTAGAGGGGTTAAGAGGACCCAAGGGAAAGCTGGAGATTAACCCTAGGTGGGGGTCATGCCAGATAAGTATCTAACTCCTTGCAGTCTCTCTCCAGCCCCTGTACTTATCGTAGCCTCTGGAATTCATACCAGTTTTTGTTTCAGGAGAAGTCATTTCTCTTTCTCCTCTGACTCTACAGATTCCTTCTCAGGAGGGGAAAATAAAATCATTCAAGTCCTGTTTGGTCCGTTCAGTGAGACACATCGATTTACCTTCGCTAGTTTCAGGCCGGCCCTGAAAATGGCCATCTCTGGAAAAGTCTCCCATTTTCCCAAAGTGACTTTTTCCTCTTTAAAAAATTCTCCTTATGGGGCTGGAGCAATAGCACTGCAAATAGGGAGTTTGCCTTGCATGCGGCTGACCTGGGTTCGATTCCTATCATCCCATATGGTTCCCTGAGCACCGCCAGGGGTAATTCCTGAGTGCAGAGTCAGGAGTAACCCCTGAGTATCACCAGGTGTGACCCAAAAAGCAAGAAAAAGAAATTCTTCTTATGAGAGAGAAGGGACAAGCTCCAACGCAGCAGAGGGATGTTGGCTGGTGCCTCCCTCCAGGGACTGTGTCTTAAAAAACAGGGTGCTGGAGATCCAAATCTGAGATGGCGCTGGGGCGCACTGTGGTATGGGTTTCCAGCTGGCCAATATCAGGGTGCATGTCTGTGTGTGCAGGCTTCTGGCATTTCATCCTGTTCACGGCGGGGACATGGAAGCACACCCCTCACCCCAAAGCCACTTTCTCGTACCTTCTAGACTTCCTCCCCTGGAAACCACTATTCTCCCGCTGAGGTTCCGACCCTTTTTATCAGCACCGTCACCAAATCCCCAAACGGATGGTGCTAATGAGAGGCTGGGGACGCTTCAATGCCACTGTCTGAAAACAGGAAAATTGAACTGTTCAGAATACAAGCAGCATTTTTATTTCCCAGCCCTCAACAGGGTCATGTGTCTCCTGCAGAAGTCACGGCCAAGTTCAGGGGACCAAGAGCAAATGGGAGCTAGATGGTGACAGGCATCCGCAAGTCCCCATGAGCTCAACCTCTCAGTTTAAGGCTGTGAAGAAAGAAGTAGGTGGCTGTTGGCAGGGGGAGCCATGACACTGTGACCTGCTGGGGAGACCAGGCCTGGGACGCTGCCCTCGTTTCTGCCACGGACACAAGAAGCGGGACATGGCTAGTGAGGTGGACAGGGCTACCCAGAACGCCACACGCCCAGACAGCTGGTATTTGTTCACGTGACTCTGAACATGACACAAGAGGCGGATGGTGCATCTCTGTCTCTCTCTGGACTTTCAATTCCCGCCATTAAGTCATGGGGCAGGACGGTTCTCTAGGAACCACTGCTTCCTTAGGCAGATGGGCTGAGGACACCCAGCCGACATGGTCCCTAACAGAAGCCCCCTTTCTTGGGCAGAGACAGGCACTTCCTGAGATCACCCCCCCCCAGGAGCTGATAAGACCCTGTGCAGGGCTGCAGGGCTGTGGGGGTTACAGTAGTGAGTTTGGAAGTCATCTGACCGAGTGTCCGGACCTTGGGGGGCTGACTTAGGTACACAGACCTAGGTAGCAGGAGTGATGCCGCTTTAGATGGAATGCTGTGGAACGCTGTTTAAGATGTGCTGGAAAAAACACAACAAAATCACCTGTTTCTTGAGAGTTGGGGATGGCCATACCTGGCAGTTCTCAGGGCTGACTCCTGGCTCTCAGGTACCCAGGGACACCTGGGGACCATATGGCACCAGGAATCAAAGTTGGGGCGCTGGTCAACAAGGCAAGTGCCTTCACCCCTATTCTCTCTCTCTGTCCCCATTGCCTTTGAGACCCATTTCTCACTCCCTTTTTCAATGTCAGCTTATGGCAAACT